TTTTTCTTTTTTGTGAAGCACATCTCTAAGCCTATAACTTTCTTACTATATGAGCTAGCAGGGTCAATCAAAAGCCATTTTGTAGAGCGTGTTTTACTGCATCTTTTCTTTATAGAGACAAATTTTCAACCATGTGTTTTGCTAAAGAAAAATTTAATATTCAAATCGAGTCAGGACTTCTGGACCACCCTTTATGTGTTCAGCACATATGTCATAGCCGATGCCGCTGCGAAAGTTATATAAGGCAGTTGTAGAAGAGGTATTACGATATAAATTGAAAGCACACTGTATAAGTAGTGACGAGAGAAATCAGTGCCAAAATGTGTATAGTTCTAAAGCCTCTCAGTTTGAACACATCCCCATCGGATCTTATCGAATACGGATTATTTCTTTACCACAAGTTATATAGGTTCTATCATGATTTCGAGTTTCGAGCTTTTACAAATGAAAAATAAACTCAGCTGGAATTGTATTACTTCAGAATGAAGAAAAACTAGAAATGGATTAAATACTTGACGTTAAAAAGATCGGAAAATGTTGGGTTAACTTTTTTTTTAAACGATACAGGTTGATGTGGAATTGAATTGAAATAGATTAAGAAAATCAGACAAACCCGTCTCTGACAAAGAAAAAACATCGATTTCAGTTGGATGAAAATTGGGCTATTTTAATCGATTTTAATCTGTTTTCTTGCGAAAATTTTTTACGTAGGTATCAAAAGAAAAATGTTTTCATCAAGAGAATGTTTATCATGGAGAAAAGAAGCTCAACATTTCCTTTAACTACTTGCTAAACTTTGACGGGATCGTGTCCAATGATGAATCTAAATTCTGTTTCCATCTTTCTTTCTTTACAGCCGACGTGATGATCCAAAGAAGCCACTAACATTACTCCATCTGATTCGGTTATTCAAAGCTACACGATGTTCGGGCAAAGAGATAAGTAGTCTTATTGAATTGCTCACCGCTTGCATTTCATATGCTGAGCCTGGAGCTGTCGATATGAAACCATATTTGATTGAACCGGATCATTTTGAGCCAGTCTGGCGTTTGTATTTTGATCCGTTGATAATCGAATCGGTTAAATGTGCCGATTCTGCAATTGAAAAAGCAGCATGTGGCCAAACAGTCTATTCAGCTTCAAGATCGATCACAGTGAAATGGTCCGATGGTCGAGAAGATTTTTATGATGATGGCAATGTTGAAGCTCGCGAACGAGTTGATGATCTTGTTCATATGGCTTTAAGTGTTTGTGTGAGAAAAGAACAGCTGATGAAATTACTCGAATCGATTCAATTGTGTCTAAGTAAAGCAGATCATGTCATACCTGCTTGGATTCGTTTATATCGTCATTTAACAACACTCACTCTATTCGATGATGACATGAGTCGAATACTATTCGACCAATTCTTTACTGTCGATATGTATTCACCATCGCAGATTGTCGAATTTATTAATGAGCTATTCGAAATATGGCCTAAAATCAATGATCAAAACATTGTTGAATCCGTCTCAATAAACATTGCAAAACTCATTGAAAATATAATTGCTTTCAAAACAAATGAATCATCTACACTTGTCGAACAACTAATTGAGCGAATATGTGCCTCTACCCCAGCTCAAAATGTTCGTGGTCATCTATGTTTCTATTTTCTTTTACATGATACTTTAGCCCTTTGCAATTCCAAGGATTTAACATCAGCTCTAAAAAAAGTTGATTTACCGATTCTCATCTGGTATGCCGATTATGTTTTCTTGAAGACTGAAAATACCGATCAACATCGACGTTATCTTTTGTCCATTCTAAAAAATGTAAGTATGTTCAGTCAACATGATTTGCTTTATCATTGGATTGAACGTACTGCATCTTCATGTGTATCTGAAGAAACAATCGGATTTGAATTAATTGAAAGTTCTATTTGTCCTACAAGTACATTACCTATGTATGTGCTTCATTCGTCAACCGATCGAATTGATCAACTTTTGACTTGTGTCAAATCGCCATGTGCTATTAAATATATCAATACCTTTTTATTAATTATCGAAGGCCTTGCTAGAAGTAGTCAAGCACAAAAGTATCTATTTCGAACTAATTTCTATCTTACTCTTCAATCGTGGCTTGACCAATTGTCATCTTCTGACACCGATCCAATCCAGTCAACCACAAGCATCGTTCGTATTGTTCATCTTTTACTCGATATGGCTTCTTCGAAATCCTTCATGCATGTCGATGATATTGTTCGTTTCTTTCTCAATAACTATATGAAAAAGATATTGGGTATTAACTTCGAAAATAACAGTCCACTGGCACGTATCATTCTATTTCTTCATTCGCACTCTGATGTCAGCTTTTCTATGGATATTACAAACATTTTTACTCTACTATTTCAATCACTGAAAGGAGAAGCATTCGTAGTTACTTCAGCCACATCTCATTTTGTTTGTCTTTCAAAAGAGATCGTCAAACCATCGTCATATCACATATTCACAACACTATTCACCCCTTTCGTACCTCAGCTGATGGGTTTACTAGGTCATACTGGTTCATTGAAATTAGCAGCAACGATCATTTTAGCCGAACTTCTCGATTTATCACCGAATGAACGTGAAATTCTTTCGCTCAATGCAACATCAACAAGTGACATGAATTCGAATGTTGAAGCAGGCATTAACGATTCTAAAACACAACAACATGCATTCTTTTCAACCGAAATTAAAAATAAGCAAAACTATGTTCAAGTACGAAAGGAAGATTTTGTCAAAGCTGAAAAACTTTTAGATGAGCTAAAAAAGTCTGCAGCCAATAAATTGGATAATCATCTTAGAACATATTTACCTGAAGTTCAACCTGATTCGAACATTTTAACATCTACCGAAGACGAAAATCAAGATCGACTTACTTTGACAGAAACAGCACTGGAAAATGTATCGAAAGTGATGGAAGTCATCAATGATCCTGTTCCGATCTTGCTCGAAGGAAGTACAGGTGTCGGCAAAAGTGCAAGTATAATGGAAGCTGCCTACTTGTGTGGTCGTCGAGAATTAGTTCGTTACAATATGTCGTCACGAGTAAGTATAGATGACCTACTCGGTAAAGTTGCTCTTGTCGTTGATCTTGAAACTCAATCAAGCATATTTCAATTTGTCGATGGAGCATTTACTAAAGCATTCTCAAAAGGCTATTGGCTACTTTTGGATGAACTTAATCTTGCTCAAGATACCGTCCTCCAAGCAATCGAATCGGCACTCGATACATGCCAATTGACAATCAATAATACAAGTTCGGCTACAACTCCTATCATCATTCATAAGAAGCACAAAGATTTTCGTCTTTTTGCTACTCAAAATCCGAATTCCGGTTTTTTCAAAGGCAAACGAGAAAAACTATCAGCTTCAACTCTATCCCGTTTTCGTCCCATGATATTCAAGGTGATGCCCGATGAAGAATGGCGTCAAATTGTCGAAACACGATTGAAAACTTGTTTCCCTGATCGTGCTAAAAGTCTGTCCGAAGATCTTGTCTGTAAATTCAATGCCGAAATCAAGAAAATGGTTGCAGACAAAAATTTCGAAGAAATTGGTCCATACACAGAAATATCAATTCGAGAACTTCTAAAATGGATCAATTTGCTCATTTGGCAAAAAAAGAATAATCAATGGCCGACCGATATTAAAGGTCAAACTGCTCTACTCAGTTTTGGGGCTTGGTGTATCTACGGCGCTCGATATCGATATAAAGGTCGAAATCGAATTAAAGAAATTATTAAAGATTTAGAATGGCCCGATGCCGCTATTACTTCGATCAAATTCCGTGTCAATCAAGAGAATAACGATTCAATCAATTTCGATAACATTCAATGTCCAGCTCGTCTTGATCTAAAAGTCGATCAGCCTGAATATGAATGGAATCGAACATTTAAATTGACTGGCATTTCGATCAAATTCATGGCAGATATTTGGAAGAAAGCATTTCAAGTTCACACAGATATTCATCGTGCTATTCTAACCGACAATTTTATCTCGTCTCATGGAATCTATCGAATCAATCGAGCATGGCTCTGGGAATGGTTAGTGTCAGCAGCTCAATCGTCCATTCTTCAATCAGAGGATAAACTCACTCAATGTGGTCTGCAAATGTATCAATCACGATTTCGTCATACTCAAGCCCGCACTATTATTCAATCGTGTTTCAAAAAAGTTTACAATATCACATTGAACACAGATGTTAAATATTCCTTCTCAACAGCTCAAGCCGATCTTCCGTACGTGTTGACAGATCGAGTATTAACCGTACTTAAACAAGTCTGTTTTGATCTTCGAATTAAACAGCCAATTCTTGTTACTGGTGGTGAGGCATGTGGCAAATCGGAACTTCTTCTTACACTTGCTTGGCTTCATTCCAAACGTATTCATCAACTTAATATTACGCCAGAAACTGAACCAACATCTCTCATCGGTCAGCTCATTCCCAACGATACACAAGATCCAGATGATCCTACTTATGGTATGATTATGTCAATTTTCTTATTTTTCTCATTATGTTTGTTTTTTATTCTTCATTTTTCTGTAGGTACCAAACTCATATGGCAACATGGCGCAGTAACTGAAGGCTATGTGAATGGTGACTGGGTTCTTCTTGACAATTTGGCTACTGCTGAATCCTCTGTTTTGGAACGTCTCAATCCAGTTTTGGAACAAAATCCAATGCTGATATTGACTGAACGGGGTGATATTGATGCACAAAAACTGAATCCTGAGTATCAACTTGTTGCTACAATGACGCCACCATCAAGTCAACAACATTCATCTGTCAGCGGTGCAAGTGTTGAACTTTCACCTGCACTCTACAATCGATTTGCTATCGTTCATATGGAAGACATGCCTATCGAGTCCGTCGAAAAATGTGTTAAAGAACTTGATCAATTAGCTCATGCTCTCTTACCTGATGATCCCGATATCAAACATAGTTTGGCTGTTGATCTCTGTAAGTCGATCCTCTCATTCTATAAAATCAACAAACAAAATTTCCCAAAACTAACTCTACGTAACATTGTTCGTCTACTCGATAGTACATATCTGTTGCATCGACAAAATAAAAAAACTCTTTCATTTGCATCGATACTTTGGACAGCTTTTCATGTTACTATTGTCAATCAGATTAAAGATACTGTCAATGATATCAGAAATAAATTAATCAAAGAAGTTGAAAAACTTCTTAGTCAAAATGGAAATAAACCTGAACAACCGAATTTTATTGACTTGATCAACAACAGTCCAGAGCATATTTTGACACTATCAAGAAAAAAATATGCCGATGCTGTACTCGGTGCTGTTGCATGCAATATTCCTCTTCTATTAGAAGGTCCAGCTGCAGTCGGAAAAACTGCACTCATTTCACATTTATGCAAACATATGAAAACGAATTCCCCCAAAAAAATGACTCTCGAACGAGTAAACAATACGGATACGACGACAATACAAGATTATCTCGGCTCATTTTTACCTAGTAATGATGGTTTTGTATTTAAGAAAGGTGCGCTCTATTCAGCAATGACAAATGGATCTTGGTTTCTTGCTGATGAATTCAATTTGGCTGATCCATCTGTGATGAACATGTTATTTCCATTGCTTGAAGGCAAAAATTCTATCACTATACCGTCAAGTGGAAAAGTTATTTTAGCCGAACCAGGTTTTCGTTTTTTTGCCACTCAAAATGATGCGTCTTATGCTAATCGTCATCGATTACCAGATTCATTACGTAATCGATTTTTAGAAGTTCAATTTGGTGATTTTCCTCAAGATGAACTTTCACAAATCATTGAACAACGTGAAGAACAAGGAAAACAAAAGCCAAAATGTTTGAATAAGAAGAGTGCTGAAGAAATTTCAAAATTCTATCATTATATTATTAACAAACCGACACGTATTACATTTCGTGAAATTGTCAAATGGTTACATCGTCATTCGCTTTTTTCGCCCAATACAGATTTGTGGTCTAAAGTTGGGATTTCTCTTCTTTGTGCTAAATATGCTCAGAAGTCAAACATTCGAAAAGAGTTAATCGACGATTTCAATAAGATCTGGCCTCGTCTCGGTAAAATCAATGCTGATTTTGTATCAAAGATTGATATCAAAACAATCCCACCAAATCAACTATGTTTCACTGAAGATGAACTTTCAGTCGATATCATACCGGCAAAACTTGAAAATAGTGATCTTTGGAATTCAAACAATCAGATTATGCCACCAGAAACATTTCGACGTTGTCTAATTAGAATTGCTCATGCCGTCAAAGCGCGCGAACCTATTCTTCTTGTCGGACCAACATCATGCAAATCGTTACTTGTAGAAACATGGGCAATAATAACGAATCGCTCTGATGAATTTATCAAAGTTCATTTAACACCAGATACAGAAGCGGGTGATCTCATCGGTGAAATTCGCCCACATTCATTTCTCGACTTACTAAAACAATTACCATTATTAGCTGAACGTGTTTTTCTCCGTGTACAAAGTCTCTATCGTTCAACCAGTAACAATGGGGAACTTTCTGCTGATGCTAAAATTCAATTACAACCATTTAATAAATTAATTAAAAACGATTTACCATCTGCTATAGCTCAATTCGAAACGAAATATGCTCAAAATGAAAAACGACGTCGTGAACAAGAAGAATTATATGACGATTCATCGAACATAGAAAAGGGAATGACAGTAGTTCAATCATCTCCTCCATCTGTATCGATGGGTGACACTGTCACAGATCTTTTGGAATCGGTCAATCAATCAAGTGGTCATCAAATGGGATCAAATGTTCACTTTTCTGACATGAGCATTGACGAAGAATATGATATACCGTTCAATAATAATTCAAACTTCATGCAAAGTACAACATATAACAATACAGGACCTTCAAGTAATATTGACTATAATGAAAATAGATCATATGACGATGGATTTGGAACAAACAATGTAATTCAATCATCAACAGATGTGGCCGATGATGGTTTTGGTGAAATTAATCTAGTCAAATCATCATTCGATACGTACGACGATGGTTTTGGTGAAAATAAACAAGTACAATCGATAGAAAAAGTGACTACAACTACTGATATTTCTGATAAGAACCAAGTTGATGACGAAAATCTGTACGATGATGGTTTCAACATGTTATCTTATCTACCACAGAACAAAAATTTGGAATCGCAAGATGTAAATGCATCATCAAATACTCTTGAAAATCAATCAGGCGTATTTAAAGACGAATTTCCTAATTATCCATCTTCTACAATAACGTCTAGTGATCAGTACAAAAACCCGACGGATGATGATCTTTATTCAATTCAACAGTATTTTTATGAAACACCATTTCCCGAAAAACTAATGGATTGTGTCGATAAAATATTAGTTCAATATCTTTCAGTTTTTAAACACAAATCATTCCTTTCATTTAATCAAGATTCTACTCTTCACGATTATTATGAACGTTTTACATCAATGTGGGATAGACTCATTGCGAAGGATACCGATCGAACAAAACCTATTTTTCTATTTAATGATGGACCAGTAACGATGACTGCCAAACAAGGTGGAATTATTTTTCTCGAAGATCTCGATTTACCAAGTCAAGCAGTCATCGAACGACTTAATTCAATCCTTGAACCATCGCCAACATTTGCTCTTACCGAAGATATTACTAGTCAAACTAATGATAAGACTAAAGGTCAACTAGACATTAAAATTTTGCCTCAATTTCAAATATTTGCCAGTGTACATCAAGAACAAGAATATCAACTCTTAAAATTGAGTCCAGCCACACGATCTCGATTCACAGAAATTCATGTTCCGTCATATACGGAAACTGATATCAAAGATTTAGTTACAGGTGAATTAATCAAACGTGGTATAAACAAAAATCAAGTAAATAAACTTGTTCCAATTATATTTTCTTTACGTGAAAAACTCCGAAAAAATCCTTCGTGGAAAGTTGAAAATGATATTCAACTTTTATTACGTTGGATTGATTTCATTTTCAATCAGCATTTATCCCTTTCGGAAGAACATCGTCTTTGTCTTGGTGCTCGATTTTTTTATTTTGATCAATTGCCCATGTCATTACACAACGAAATCTTCGACGAATGGAGTAAACAACCAGACAGGAAAGAATGGATAAAATATGCTCCCATTTTTCAACCTTCTAAAGAAACTCATGGTGCACGTACACTTGAATCTATTAAAAATAGTGATATTAACAGGACATTTGTGTCTCCGTTCGAAATTGGACATGATTATATTGCTCTTCGATACACTGGTGTACGGTATTCATGGACAAGTAACAAACAAATACCAACACTCGATGAACTCAAACTTCTCTTTGTCGATAATGTACCTACGCCTACATTGCTCAATCAAATTGCTCGTATCTTTGCTGCAACATCATCAAAAACACCACTTCTTCTTGAAGGACCACCTGGCATCGGAAAAACTCACGTTGTTACACAAGTATGTAAACTATTAAGCAAAGATTGTGAACGAATTAATATGTCGGCAAATACATCACTCGATCAACTCATCGGTTGTATCATACCTCGTTGTATCAATGGTCGACGAATATTCGAATGGCAAGATGGAAAAGTCGTAGATGCATTGAGAAATCATCGTTGGATCTTATTCGATGAATTGAATCTTGCATCACCAGAAGTATTACAAGGTCTAACACCACTATTTTATCGGGGATCGAAACAATTTATTATACCATCAACAAATGAATCTGTTGATACATCGTCAATACTCATATTTGCAACAATGAATCCAGCGACTATAGGCGGAGGACGAAGTAAATTACCACGATCGATTAGTAATCTATTTACAATTGTTCAACTTGAAGATTACAAAGATGATGAACTTCGTATTATTCTTAGTGATTTATTTCGAATTGATATACATCAATTGACAATCGATAATGAACAATTATCCAAAATATTTGAATTACATAAAGAAATCAAACGTGATGTTGAACAAGGTATAATCGGTTCGATGGGTGGTCCATATGAAATGAATTTACGTGATCTATCAAAATTTCGTGATGTATTTCGTGGTTCTATTCGAAATCAGATGCATCATTATCAATATATTAATGCGACAGATAATGAAACAAAAGATGAAAATTTCGATTTAGCTGAAAAGACAAAATTGTCGATCCGAAAATTTGCTCAAGTTGTCTATGCTTGTCAATTTCAAGGTCAACATGATTTCAAACATGTTTGTCATTTAATCAAGGAAAAATTTGAAATAAAAAAAAATTTAGAAAAATGGGAAAACGATCGATCAATTGATGCAGCAATACCAAATGTCGTTAGAATCGGTTCGATCTATATTAATACAGGAATAGAAGAACCAAATAAAATCTTATCTGGTCTCATCCATACAAAACAAACAATTGAACAACTTGAATTATTAGCTACTGCTTGTCAATCAAAACGAGCTATTCTACTTGAAGGTGATATTTGTTCAAGAAAATCTTCTCTCGTCATTGAACTTGCTCGTGTAACACGCAATCATTTAATTGTTATACCACTTCACGAAAATTTTGAAACATCGGATTTAATTGGTACATGGTTACCATCAACAGTTGACACACGTAATAATACATTATTTATTAAAATTGATAAACTCTTTAAACAAATATCTAAATTGCTCCTTCTCGTTTGTATGCCATTGCTCAATAATGAAAGTAATCGATATCTATTTACTGAATTTGAGTCAATCATACAACAACGAAATGTTAGTCTTGATAAGGATTATACAACATCAGTTGATCAATTCGAAAATATTGAATATGAGAAGGATACTCTTGAAAAAGTCAAAACTCTATTTAAGCCATTAAGTAAAATGCATCAAATGCCGAGTTCACTCAACGTTTTCATTACATGTTTTGTTCGACAAGCTGATTATTTCATTTTGAAACTTGACGAACTCAAACATAAAGGCAAAGACAAAGATGAAGTTGGATTTTCATTTGTTGAATCAGAATTAGTTGAAGCGATTCGTGAAGGTTGGTGGGTTCTATTGGATAATGTCAATTCAGCTCCGCCTGAAGTATTGGAACGATTGAACTCTTTAACCGAAGATAATCCCATGTTATCCTTATATGAAAAATCGAGTGGAGAAATATTGAATCAAAAACATGGCATTCATCCCAACTTTAGATTATTCACAACGGCCAATCTCAATCGCGTTCATTCGAACAAGCTCTCATCAGCATTTCTCAACAGAGTCATTAAAATTTGGTTACCTTCAATGGACGCTGATATCAATATAAACACCATTGATTCAATAAAATCAAACGATCTTTATGAACTTTTAGGTGTTCAATTGGCCGATGTACCAGCTGGAAAACAACTAACTGAACTACTTCTTCTTACTCATAGCAAAGTGAAACAAGATGTCAAAGAAGGTAAACTTGTCTATCCAACAGATTATACAGTAACTTATAGACAATTGGATCAATGCGTACGAACTATGATCTATCATATTAAGAATCAAATCGATCCTGTATCTGCCTGTTATTGGTCAATTCTTCGTTCTTATGCATCACTTCTATCAGACAATGAACATTATATGTATTTTGTCAAAAGTCTAAAAAACTCAATGAATGAACTTAAACTGAATACAATGTCAATATTTTCCACATCGGAAAGTGTTGATACTAAACAACTGCTTTGGATTCAAGATGGAAATAAAATTCAAGTTGAATTTATCGAAATTGAACGTTGTCTTGCGGAATTTATTTTTGGACTAATTGAAAACATTTCATTTTTGCAATATCGATCAAAGGAAAAAAATTATGAATTATTGAATTTGTTTATTGATGAAATTCTCATTCGAATGTATCCAGAAAATTCCAATTTAAATAATATTAAACAATTAATAACAAATTCTACTGATAATCAACAAACTGTCGATGATCCATTCGAATTATTGAAAACGTTAAAGATTATTGAATCATCTATCAATAATCAACAACAACAAAATGTTGAATTCAACATTCGAGAACTTATTGAAAAGACAAATCATTTGAAATTGTCATTCGAAAATGTATGTACTTTGTTGAATGTGTTCATTCAAAATACATCATTTACCGATACACACGAACGTCATCATTTTCTTCAACGTATCATTTCAATTGCACAAATATTTACCAATTTTCTTGGTTCATCTCATTTTTCACCCTCATTATTTCAGTCGGCTCATTCAACACTTATTTTTACATTTTGTAATCAACTTATCGGTCTCATTCGACTTATTTTAACATTTAAAACTAAATGTATTTCATATGAAATATTCCAGGAACCGGCATTTGTCGATGCACAAAATAAATTTCGTATACATATGTTTCAACATTTTGAAAGTGGTCTCATTTGGGCATTTGAACGAGCTCATGCTACACCGATCATGATAACACGCAATGATTTTAGTATGCTTATGTCGGATGTTCTCAATAAAGAATATCATAATCTTGAAAAAACAAATCCAATTAAATATTATCATCTTCTTATGCAATGGACTGGTTTACAATGGATATTCGAATCATTTTTAACCAAAAGTCTACAAAATGCATTTCAAAAAAATAATTGTATTACAATTGATTTTATTATTGAATGCGAAACTAAATTATGTTGTCAAACATTAACAAAAAAGATTTCATTGGCCATTCAACAATGTATTAAAGCATTTCCATTGGAATCGAATACTTTAGAAATCGATTTTAATGAAGCAAAAACCAATTTAGATAAAAAACAACGTGAAATCGATAATTGTAAAAAGAAAATTGCTGCAATTGAAAAAGCAATTTCAGAAAAAAAAGAATTGGAAGACAATGCGACATTGGTAAATAGTACTCAAACACAACCATCGTTACTTTCAGGAGCTGGATCAATCTTTGATCCGAACACTACATTGATTGATGGAGATGAACTTTTGAAAAATCTTATTCAAGAACTTGACATACTTAAAATAGACTATCAAGATCTTTCAAAAACCCATACAATGTATTTAGAGAAACGAATAGCAACAATTGAAAAAGCACAACAAGCACGTAACACATTTCTTCATTCGATGAAAAATTTGTTTGATAATGAAGATTGTCAATTTCTGTTTCGACGCTTTCAATTACCAGATTCTAATCAACTCAATCATCTTATTGAGCTTCTTTACAATAGTCGACAAAATCCCTCACTTCTACAATCTGATCATACACTCAATGTTCAAGCTGTATTAAGAACAGAATTTGGTCAGATATTGATCGATAATGATGATATTTTAGAAAATCCAATTATTCATTTCATCTGTGGTTTCTTTTTCTTGCCATCATTTATATCAAGAGTATTCAACATAACTGTTATTTCATCATGGAAGGAATTACGTCAAGATAATACAATACAATTTCGTTCACTCAAACAACGTCACATCGTTTTATATTGTCCGAACAAACAATCAGATCAATGTTGTTTATTGTCTGTTCAAAATTCTGCTCAATTGATGATAATTACAATGTGGACTTTTCACGGTCACATTGATATTAATGAACTCGAGGAAATTTTATCTGACATATTGCCAACTAAGATTCAACGACGATACGAACAGAAACTACTTGAAAGAGTAACAAATATGTCTGATACTGATCAACAAACATTTGCTATTTCTTCTTTGGTTCTACTTCAACATGATCCAACTTGGAAAATCGATTCTGAAATATCATTGGCAAGTACAGATCTTTACAGTCAAGTATCACATGTCTATTCTCAATTGAAACAATTCTCTCAACATAATCAAATAAAACGAAAACAACCAACAAAGTTAACTTATCAAAATCTTGTTCGATTTCAATCAGATCTACAAAAATTGTCCAATGAACAAATCGATAATGAATGGATATCAATCAAAAATCTATCAGATCTTTTAAAATCTTATCAGAATATATTTTCATCTGTCAATAATCAAAGTCTCTTGCAAGATGTTAACAATTATATTCACACAATTCAACCACCGAACATTGGAAGTCAAATTACTTCACTTGCTTTTATCCAACCTCTTGGTACAAAATATGCATGTATTGGAAGGATAGATGCACATCTACGAAAATCGGTCTTTGATAATAATACTGTCGGATTAATATTTGATGAAAAAGCAAAACATTTTCAATTAGTCTTTGAATTCATCAATAAAAGTATTCGATTACTCAAATTACTTACTCAACATGTTATATATGGAAGTGAACATGTCTTGGATAAACTGTATCAAACAACACCGATTATAATAGTTCATCTTGAAAAAATCTTCCAATCAACTCTTTCAATGATTGATTTGAATGAAAGTAATATTTGTACTCGTGTCGTCAAACATGAAGATGTTTTTCATCTAATGCAAACTGAACTTGATCAATATCTTAATGATATGTTCTTTACACCGTTTGTATCGAAGTATAATCTACAAAATTTTGTTTTATCCATCGCTCCACTATTTCAAGAACGTCGTCGTATAGACGAAACAAAACCAAATCCTCCACCCGGTCCATCGATTCCTTCAGGTGAAAATCGAAACCAAAAAAGAATCGATGAATGTATTAAAAAATTGAATGAATTACTAACACGAGCTGATACGTTACCTATTCGTCCTCATGAAATTATCGGTCGTATACGTAACACACTTGGACGACTTCAATTGATTGATATTAACAAAGATACAGAAGCTCGAATTCAATTAATTCTTGCTGAAGAGAAAACTTTAACTTCACAAATAAATTCATACATAGATCAAATTAAACAAAAAACAATATTAAAAAAAAATATACCAAAGATAAATGCGATCACTCCTTTAACTTTTGATGATCTTCAACTGGATAATTCGAAACTTAAAACATCAAATCAAGAAATTTTCTTTCGAGACCAACAAACACAGATTACCAAAGCAAGTTCATCTCAATCATTCACTCAATTAGCACAAGTAACTGGACTCATCAATCAACAAGTAGCAAATCGAACATGGATTCAAGCACTCTCATTAGTAGCACAAAACGAATGGATTTCAACAAATTCATCATCTTCCCTTTATCTAAAGAAAGCCATATCATCATTGAGCAATACTTTGGCTATACAACTTGAACGAACGTTATCATCTACAATTGGAGATCCTAATGATCAACAAATTTTGATACTAGCAAATAATATAACACTTGCCTATGTTCAATTTCGATGCAATTTACTTAATGAAGAAGCTAAAAATAAACGACTATCGAACTATGAAGCCATTGCAGAATTTTCAAAAGCTATAAACGATTGGAAAAAAGTATTACATGTACATGTTCTCAACATGTTCGAATCCGTTCAAATGATTATTCACGATTTAACATTTACTCGAAATTGTATTAAAAATTATACAAACGATGCAAGTTGTTGTCTTGTACCAATCATTATTCGACCTGAAGATATTCTTTGTTTACTAGCACCAGAACAAACATTAATTATTCGAACAATTTCCGCTAATTATACTAAAATTGACGAATATCTATCTGATCCAGCATTAATGACATCGAATTTTGATAAAACAACTTTACTTGAATTTGACGAAACAACGATAACATCAAATATCACCACAGGTCTAGCGAGTTTTATATACGATAATGATCCAAAAAAATTATTGATCAATCGTGAGAATCATCTTAACTATATTATTAATAGTGCTATCACTTTTTCTAAACAATTGATTGATCTATGTGTAGAATCAAATTCAAAAAATGGATTTTTAATGAAATTAGCCATGAGCGTTGCAGAACTTTTTCCAATTCAAATCGTTTCATCACTTGGACTTATTATTCTGGCAAATTGGTCGGCATTAAGTATCTGCGAGTTCGAATATCGTAGCAGACTTGACTTTTTACAATTAAAAGGCGATGAATCTGAAATAGTTACACTTGAAATGGAACTTGAAAACCTTGAGAAAACATATCGAGAACAAAAAGAAAAAGTTGAACAACTCGAAAAAGAAATCAACAAATTGAATATAAATCTCAATTTATCAGAAAATATGATTGAAAGACGAGAGATACGAGAAGAAATTCGTATATTGGAAAAGAAAAAAGACGACGAACAAAAACAATTAAACGCCAATAAAAGTAAACAAACATCTCAAACGAAAGATATTGACACACGAAGAACTGCATACAATCAAAAACGGCAATTTGAGCAAGAAAAATGGGTTGAAAAAGTTACCAATCAAATCAAATTGATTTCAAATCAGATTCAAAAATGCATACAGACAATTGAAACAATGTGTACTGACAAATCAACGACCATTGATGATTCAATATCAGCTACACCACATGTAGGAGATGTATTGATCAATATTGTCATAGAACTTGCTCATCATCAACTTGTGGAGTTCGGATCGGAAACAAAAACACCTGTCATAAACAATGATATTATCAAGGCTAAATCGACCATTCAAAAAGCTTTAATTGATTTGAATGATGATGCATCTCAACTAGCAGATAAACACAACGATCCAATGTATAGATTTTTGCAATTCTATTCCAGTATTATGCAGATTGGCCTTGATACAATGATTAATTCAATAGCAAGTTGGTCGATTTATTCAAAAAGAATTCAATCAAAACAAATGTCATTATTTGTTGAATCGAAAAAGAAAAAAGATTTTTGTGATCTCAATAAATGGATACGAGAGAAATGTATTCTTTTCATTGAAAATGTTCTTCATGGTGATGAAATAACCAAACTTGAAGAACAAATAAGTAAACGAATTTATACTGATATTGGCAATCTTGCGACAGTTCTATCAGGTGACAATAGTCATTATATTCAACAATCTCTTGGACAATTTCAACATTTCATCTATAATTTACTTATCGCAGGTTGTCGATACATTCAAATTCGACTTGGTTGTACAACTAATTCTCTTGATGATCTTTTAAGTCCAATTACACGCGAACAAATCAATCCCGATTTTCCTCATACTGAATCTGATCTTTTACAATTAATCACTATGAGTGAAACACAATTTAGAAGTCGAAGTGAATCATTACTCTATCAAGTTATTCACATTACATTTGGACTTAATACTAATATATTTAGTCTTATTGATAAGCTTGATTCATCGATTGAAACTGTCGATCATCTTCTTCTACCATCATCTTACATGATCGGACAATTATGGCGTGCAATTGATACACTTTTAACTCACATTTCAAACAAGATAACCGATGATGAAGACAAAGTACTTCGAAAACTATGTCAAGTATTCTTTAAAAATATCAATCAAAAACTCAATGATGAAGATCTTTTTCTTGCCGAACAAATCAATTCAAGATTTGTTGCCAATCTATTCAAATCGATTGAAGATTTGCGTTATATCCTAGAAAAAAATCGATCAAAAATGAAAACATTTTGCGATGATCTATTTGTTCATTTAAATGCAACACTTAAAGAAATTATGCGTGGTTTTATTAAATCAGGAAAATATCAAATACAAATATTGATAGAATTAAATGATGGAAAAACAAAAGATTTTCATTTACTTTTTGATAAAACTAAAAATCATGATAATATTCAACTTATTGATATTAATAGAATTTTGAAAAATAAAGAAAATCTTCTCAATACATCAAAAGCAAATGATAAACGATTAATATTACAAAAAATTCAAATATTCTATTCTCTTCTTCGTGGTTTAATCGACAATCTTGAAAATATTGTTATGAATATGTCATTTGAACCGATTAATTATGATTTTTTAGAAAAATTACTAGAAACTATTAAATCATTTTATACCGATGGACAAAATATTTTGAAAATACCATTGAACAAATTTATTATCAATGAAAAAGAAATCGATAAACAACTTGATAATCTCGAAAAAACTTGGCAATTAGAAAAGACAATATTTCTCGATCAAGTTGCCAATAGTAACACTGATGCTGAGAAAAAAATCAAAAAATTTATATCGGCCGTAAATAAAATTCAACCATGTGTTCAATTGGCTCAACAAGCTGATACTAACTGGAATTTAGCTGTGAAAAAGTTAGTTGAAAAACGAAATGAAAACCGAACTTTTCTCGAAAAAATTTGGAGCAAAATACAAATAGGGTCCTGGCTCGGGTCCTGGTTCGGTGGAAGTTCATCATCCGAAAATGATGACATTATTCTATATCATCCATGCTTGGCACAACTTCGGCGATTTATGCTACAACATCAACTAGGCACTGAATCTATTTTCACAATAGGACCTCAAGAACCCATTATCAGATTATCACGTTTGATTAGAAAGCATCACGATAAAGCACACAATAACCTTTTCAACGATTTCGGATTTGAGCGAATAAAGAACTTTGTACATTTGAATGTCACATCGAATTCGGCAACGTCCCACCAAATTATACTTAAACTTTTACACAAGAAGAAGAAATTTACATGCCTACCACTTTTATTGACTCCAAAAGAAAATAACTTCACACTTTTTATCAAGGACATTGAAGTACAATCAATTGTGATAGACTTTGACGAGAATGAAACATCGAATGTGATAGAATGGTCGGATATTTTCAAAAGGTGGCAAACATTCAATGTCAAAGACAAATCTATAACTATATACGGCAAAGACCAGACTCGAAATGAATCTGTCTATATAGTTAAAATGAAATGTAATGCATTGAATCAAAATGATCAAACAAAACAAATTGAAAGTGACGACAATTTTATGAAAAATCTCTATGAATTGGAGGATAGACTTGACAACTTGAACCTACAAAAAAAAAATCAACGTGATTATAACAAAGATAACGAACAAATAAAAAATATGCCAATCACACTTTTCTTGAAAACATTTAAATCGAACTATATCGATATTGGAACGACGATCAAACTAAATTCATCATTACAAATTCCAAAATTGCCTACAATCAAAATTCTGAATGAATTATTTAATCAATTACCTACTCATCAAACTCTTCAACAAATTGTAAATAAAGCTACAAGTAATAACATAAATATGACTATATACGATAACCCTACATCACTTGACAATATCGATGAAAAACGTGATATCAAAGGGCAAATCACTCATGAAATGATCAATGCATTTAACTTGGGAAAAGATTGTCAATTACAAATGAGAAAAATATTGGATTCAGTTATTTCATCTTTGTGTGATGTTCGTCTTCAACTTTTAATTTCCTATGCATGGGCGCATTCAATAAACAATGATGAAACTATCCAATCAGAGACAACAATCAAAACTTTTTTGAAAGAAACCGAACAACTTTATCGTTTATTAGAGGAAAACAATGAAAATTCTACTCAAATAATTTCCTGGGCAAAAATGACAAAACAAGCTCAAGATATTTATCGATCAACAAATCGAACAACAAATAAATGGCAAGAAATTCGTCATCGAATGGCCATACCATTAATGATAGAAGAGGATGTAAAAGATGCATTTTTAAATTCTAAATCAGCTGGTGATGCACATCTGTGGCTTCATTTTCCTGATCAATCATCTCAACAAGTGAATAATATCGTATGTGAACCACAATTAGCACACGTCGATTTTGGGATTATTTTCAGTGGAATTCGTCAACGTATTACTCAACAAATCATTCTACATAATGAGACAGACAATGATATTAATATTCAAATTAAACGACAAACAGCAATTGAGTTCGATTTCAATATTACACCTGATCAACTCATTGTACCGACAAAAGATATTGCTGAAATTGATGTTCTTTTCAAATCACCCGATAAATTCATTGGTCAAATAGCTGAAACGTTGGATTTCACTATCGATAATAAATTGAATTTGAATGGCGTAATTCGATTACGTGCTCAAATTGTTAAAGTTGATCTGGAAATCGGATCGGGTGCAATCAAATGTGAACAGAACGATAAAGAATTTTGGGAAGTTGATTTCAGTCATGTACCATGTGGTAGTACAGATATGGTTAAATCGATTGAGTTGAAAAATGCTCTTGAATCGACTTTACAAGTCAAAGCTCAAATACAAACAAATGATAAGAATTATCAATCAAGTATTATTATTATCAAAAATGAATTTATAATCGAAGGAAAAACGACAAAACTTCTTAATTTAAAACTTCAACCACCTGAAAATAATAATATTGATGAAAATTTTGAAGCTCTTATTTGTCTTGCCATAAGTCCATCGAAAAATATCAAATGGATTAAAGCGAAAGCTTGTATTCGTCGTCCTCTACTTTCAATATTCTATGGAAAGGTTCCTTTGATTGAAAATTCCAAGCCAACAGGAATATTAACTATATCAGATTTTTATATGGGTGAACATCGAACTGTTCCATTCGAATTCAAAAATACTGGAGACACAGATTTTACACTCTCTATCACATCAAGAGATTTACAATGGAAATATGAAAATATTTATCTTCAAATGGGAAAATCGTCTACAATCGAAATACCAATAAATATACCTCAAGAAAAACGAACAACATTTTCGATTAATATTAAATTTCTCAATATTAAAAGATGCTGTACATTACAACTAATCTGTGAAACATTGACACCTCTACTCGACATACCTACTATTATTAAGAAAACAATAAAAATAAGTCAATCAGCTGATTTACAAGCGTTATATGATTCTTACGCGAGATGTTTAAATCCAATCACATTCGAAGGTATTTTTAAGAATAAGGGTCAAACGGCGACCGTTATTTCGTTTACTCGATTTCTATCGATAGAGAAAAACGATACGTTAGATATGAAATTTGGTATGAAGCCAAACAATCTGAAGATTCCACCTGGAACCGATGCCATAGTTAATTTCGTATATGAACCAATCGATCTATGTGATTTCAAAGGTCACATTCAACTTCAAACAAATTGTTCATCTGAACCAAAAACAATTGAATTTCATTTTGAAGTTCGAAAACCAAATTTTCTTGCGTGTCCTCAATCAATAATTTCATGGGGAAAAATTGAAACCGGTCGCATTGAACGACCATTATTCAAAGTTAAGAATACAGGAACAAATCCATTACGATTTAGTGTAGAATCGGTCAAATATCAACAATCATTTGTAGAAGCAGCATCCATTTTAAACAAATCGTCTGAAAATTCATCCATCGGCCATCCTTTTCGAATCAATCCAACTGAAGAAGATCAATTCAATATAACGATAACATCTGGTGAAATCCAATTCAATCAAATAAGTACGTCGTCACTTGTCGAACTTGTTGAATTCAATCTGCAAAGTTTATGCGATCCGGTTATATCTATCGATGGACAATTGAAAAATCGTTCAATAAAAATACTCGTTATTGGACTTCAAGACGAAGATCTTAACCAAGAGAATCAGTTCAAACATTTGACCGATTGGAATACCCTTCGAATAGTACCATCAAAACAAATTAGACATATCGCAACGAATATCAATCTATACCAACCATATTCACTACTTATTACAATGATTTCTGCTGCTTATGCAGCTAATTCAAGTCAAATCATTACACTTCCACAGAGTGAAGAAGATTGCGAATCACATGTACGAAAAATACATGTCGAAAGCAAAACTTTAATTTCCCCATTGACTGTGACTGATATATCTGGAAATGTATCTTCAGACAAAATCAAATTACTTTATACATATTGTAAATCAGGCGTTAGAAATTCTGAATTTTATCGTCATTCAACATTATTGCATCATTCATTCGATTATAGTCATCTACAAACATCGATTCGTTTACGACTCTATGCAACAATTAATTCAACATCGAACAATGATGAAGCTTATACAATGCAATCATATATCTCAATAATCTTGTCTATGTACGAGAAGATTAATCGAAATGATAATCTATGTTGTCAAGCATTGAAAACTCTTGAAATATGCATAGGCAAAGACCCATTAATGCCAAAATATATTCAACCATTCATTCAATATATTCGTTTTGTTACAACACGAACAACGAACATTAATGATATTGAACATCTACTTGCTGATGTTCTACGTTCATCAAAATCTTCATCAGTCGATCTATATCATTTACTAACATCGAATTCAAATGATGTCAAATGGGCACTTCGTTTTTCATGTATACCAACCAAAATCAAACAAATTCTTATCTCTTTGATTGAAAAACAAGACAATTTTGATTCTTCACTTATTTCATGTCATTTAATTGTTGCTTCATTTCATAAATATTCAATATGGCAAAAAAGTTTACTACGAGGTTTACAATGGATTGGAAAACCTTGGCATGATGTAAATCAAGACGACAAATTAACTTTATTATCGGCTATTTTACCAGATCAAATTCAGCTTGTTGATCTTGTAACATCATTCAAAACTACCGATAATGATAAGTTAACCATCCTCAAAGCAACTAGTTTCATTCTCAACTATTTTAAGTGTTCAGACAATTTTTCGAAGGTTGAAAAAATCTTTGAACGTCGATATTCAGAGAATATCAGTGCTACTCTCCAGGATATGGGTTACCAAGATTTAGACAGTAGACGGAAACTTGTTGGGAATATACAATCGTGTTCTCAAACCCGTATTCTGTCCGAGTTTGTAAACAAATATTGCGAAATTTTACGCATCATGCTTGCGCTTGAATCTAATCAATGGAATTCGGTTCGCACAACTGTGGTTAATTTTTCCAATCTACTATATCGATCAATTGAAGGAAATACGAATACAGTAGATCAAATTATCATTGACTCAATGTTATTAGCAGCTGAATTTCATTCTCATGGTGTTTCATGGTCTTCAATGCAACAAAAATTCAAGGAATATGTTAATACTAAAGATTCAAATGTATTAACGAGTTTCATCAATATGATGGATACGACAGATACAAATAACTCAATCAAATCAGTAATTAAACACATCAATCAGATTTGTTCTGCACAACCGAATGAAGAATTATTTGAAAATACATTTCAACTTTGTCAAATGATGATTAACGAAAATGAACAAATTCAACTTAAACAAAAATGTCAAATTATTGAAGACATTCCATCTACATTATCGATGATCGATATATTGCCGATGATAGAAAATATTGTTTCAGATTCTGTTGAATATAAAAACTCTATTAATGCATATCTTCATTTAATCAAAGTTTTCAAGACTTTAAAATCAAATATTAATCAATTAGATGATCAAATTCAATTTGAATTACTCGAACAAATTGTTCCATCATGGTTGAATTTGATTAATGAAAATTCGCAAACAAATGAACAGTTTTTTAATGTTCTATCATCATTTTTAACATCATTTCATGGTCTTCTTCTATCTCGTGATACGCCCTTCAATGAACGACTCTATACAATTGCATTAACAACTGCTCTTTGTAAATTATCAAATTATCGATTCTCTAAACATGTTATCAATGATCAAACACATCAATTGGATACACGATCAAAAGCTATTATCGAATCTATTCGACGAAAATTAGTTCAACAGCCTCAAATAACTTTGATAACATCCAGTTCTTCTAGTAATTTGACAAATGAAAATACAGCAGAATCCATCAATCCTCGACAATTGTTTCGACAAGCTTCAATTTACAATACTCAATATTCAGCATCGATGCTTGTTAAAATGTCGAATTTCATGAAAAATTATGTTAATCAACAAAATATACAACGGCAAACATTTGAAGATTCTGATAAATTGTGTGATATCATTCAACAAGCATTCACTAATCGTCAAAATATTGATCAATGGCTTTCAGTATTTCGAACATTTAATATTATACTTCGTTATAATCCAGAATTGGATACAGAAACAACTATTACTCAAAGTCATCATATTGTCAAACATGGTCTTCAACTACTTTTGAATTCAATTATAATTAAACAAATTTTAGAAGAATCATTTTCTCGTATTGGTATTCAATTCATTATTATCGATATCACTCGAATTGAAAAATTTCTTCTTTCACTTGCCTTAGAAAACTATCCATATCTCAGACAAACATTACGTCAACTTCAAATTGATGTTAGCAGAATCAAACAGACATTACCATCAAGAACATTCAATCCTATTACTTTGGCAATACGAAACGAACCTTCATTGCCAACGGAACCCGAAGATCCAGGTGAGGATAATGATAATATTTCAATACCACCAGAAAAATTCGATCCAGATAAACCGATCAGTCCTAGTGAATGGTTGAAAGAAATAAAAAATGACAAGGGTTTAGGAATTAGGAATATTGTCACAAAACCACAAAAATCGACAACCATAACAAGCGGTAAACCAGATAAAATTACTAAAATAGATCAAATTCAACAGCATGTCAACAGTGTATTGAAAGAAAGTATCAATAATCAAGGAACACCAGGCACAGGTCCAATACCGGATCCCCTACAAGCTGGATCAGAGAATGAGATGGCTAAAAATATCGAAGTTGATTTCACAGAAGCTACGTTACGCCAATACATGAAAAACCAAGCAGAAATAATGGAACAATTCAAAAAATCTAGTGTCAGAAAAATCTTCGATGATACAGGCCCAACTCTTGACGATCGAGGTAAATTAGAATTTGATAAAAAAATCGAAAATTGGACGTATCAAAAACTTGTCAAATCGAAAACAATTTCATGGATGATCGATACAATGTTAGAAGAATTTCAAAAACGTTGGGAAATATTATTAAATAATCGAACAAATCAATTGGAAGTTCGTTGGTGCATTCTGATTGATAATTCCGGTTCAATGAGTCTTCATAGAAATTCGATCTATGAAAGTTTAGTTATACTTATGGAATTATTACGTAAGATGGAATTCAAATTTGCAGTTGCAAGATTTGGTGGTCGGACAAATCAAAAAATATTGAAAGATATCGATAAAGGTTTTACCGATCAAGATGGTCAATACATTCTCGAAGCAATTACATTTGACGAAGGAACATATCCAGCTACTGGTCTTCAACGGATTGCCAACAAAATTTTTCCGAAAACAGAATCCGAACCGAAGGCACATCAACTTGTTCTTATGATCACCGATGGTTTAACACAAGAACGTGATCCTGAAAGTTTTTCGAGTACAATTGGTAAGAATAAAATCAATCTTGGCGTTATGTTTATTGAAACAATTGAACAAAAATCGAGCGAACTTTTATTAACCTCACTTAGTCAATTAATTAAACACAAAGTTTTAAAATCGAACGCTATCCAAACATTACCACTTGAATTAGCTGATCTTATGAATTCAATGATCGAAGCATGCGCAAACTCTGAAACTAAATCAACTACATTGTTTCACACGGAAGGACCAATAAAAATTGAAAAGTCCGTATTTGATGCAGAAAAAATACTAAAAATTTCATCAACTGAAAAAACAGAAAACCCAATTGATCAATCAGAACATCGTCTCGATTACAAAATTAGTAAACCAAATGCATCGATTCCAAAACTTGATCGTATCGATAAACAACAAATTACTGAATATTTATCACCAGTAAAAACTTTTACAAACTATGCATCGATAACCGAAGAACTTCGTCAATTCTATCAGACATTAACATTAGATAGTACACAAACAGGTGAACAATCGTGGGACATCGATGAACGACATTTTACCGGTCTTATCGATGAGCTTACAACAGTTCTTGGTGATGTTGTATTTCCCATAAATAAATTTACTCGACGTCGAGCAGCTCTGCGTGGATCTTCGCTTTATCTACCCGGTTTGATCAAGGCAATGACAAGTGAATGGTCATACAAAAAAATATTCAGCGCAAAATTAGCTGGTGGGAAACGGGATCATGCCGCTTATATTGTTCTCGACATTTCAACATCGATGTTTGGACTTCTCGGCAAAGGTCTACAGAACACAGCAGTGACACTAGTTGGTGCGTTGACAAAATTGGGCTTAGAAAATTATGGAATTATTGTTTTCGGCAGCAAAATTCGATTGATAAAAACTAGTGAACAAGCATGGGATCCTATATGTAAAGCGATACTATCACAACAAATTCGATTCGATCAAGATGATGATACAAAAGATGCTGAAGCACTTGAAAGTGCCGTCGATCTTCTCATCAATTCAGTGACGCGTGGCGATAAAAGAATATTCATAATTACGGATGGTTATAGTAATTCTGGTAGTCGTCTTTCTCTCGTTCAACAACGTGCCGAAGATGCAAACATTGATATTATTGCAATGGCCATTGGTGATGATCGAACTAATTTACACGGAAATTACAAACGTTATATTCGATGTACAACACCATACGGTCTACCAAAAGCATTAAAAGCTCTCTTCGATAATGAACCATCGAATGAATCGATCGATCAACCAATGGACAGTAAAAAACGAAGTAATTTACCCACTGATACAACCGATAAAGATGGATACTTCTTCGATATAAAAAATAATCCAATCTTTAAAGATCTAATTCAAAAATTGCAAGGCGAACGTGAAAAAATGCTTCTCAACAGTGGCGATCCACCATCGCATATAAATTGTGACATTTGCTTCTGTATCGATTGTACAGGTAGCATGTCACGATGGTTATCAGAAACAAAAGTTCAAATGAAAGTTATTATTAAGGAAATCAAGAAGCAAATTGCTGATAAATATCCATCACTCAAATTAAAGCTTTCGTTTGCAATTGTTGGTTTTCGAGACATTGGTGATGCGAAACCATTTGAATCTCTCGACTTTACAGAAAATGAAACAATAGTCATTAATTTTCTCGATCAATTAAAAGCATACGGTGGCAGTGATTTCCCCGAAGATGTGCTTGGTGCTTTAGATCAATGTTTGACGTTGAAAAAGTGGAGTCAATCAAATGCTCGATTTATCGTTCTGATAACGGATGCGCCTGGCCATGGACGAGACTTGAATGATGATCCATCAGATAGGTATCCGAACGGAATCGGACATACGGCAACATCGATTTGTGATCGCATTCTTCAGAAAGACTCTGAAATTGAATTCATGTTCTGCTGTATCAATCCGGCGGCAACTCTCAAAATGCAAAAAGCATTCGAAAGCGAGTTTAATAAGAAAAAGGATCAAACAGGGAAAGAATTCAAAACGATAAAATTGTTTGGTGATAATCCAATCGACTCACGATTGTTTCATTTTGTGTTTGTACTAGATGAATCAGGCTCGATGTCGTTGGAAAATCGTTGGAGTAGTTTAGTGAGCGCCTATCAAAGCTTTTGGAATCGACGAAACAATGATCAAGGTGGCAATGATCTATTTTCAGTCATTCAGTTTGCGGATAGCGCTCGAATTGTTTGCGAGCGACAGCGTTTGACCAACACACCTACAACACTTGCAATGGTCGGTGGTGGGACAGATTATCTCAGTGGACTTCAATGGACGGACTCCGTGATTGCAAGAGACACAACAAAGTCTTCGGTCGTCATGATATTCATGTCGGACGGTGACGATTTTGGATCAGATCCGATGCCGACCATGAGGAATCTTCGTCAGAAGTATTTGGCTAATCATAACTTCGTTTGTCACACTATCGGATTCGGTAGTGAGATCCGACCAGGTAGCTCCGGCGATAGCCGTTTAAGACAGATGGCACAAGCTGCTGGTGGTAGCATGCATTCGGCATTGACAGATGCGGCCCTTATGCAAGTTTTCAATACACTTGCCGCTGATTGCACAGTGTCTGGAACACTCGTTAGTCAATTTGCCGAAATTCTCAGCAAGGAAGTTAGTACGAAAATTATGTTTGACTACTTGTGAGACTGGAAAATTTTCAGAACTATCGCTGTTTTATTTTGTTTAATTTTCTCGATTAGATAGATTTAAACGTATCGCATGTGTTGCTTTCTATTATTATCTTAATAAACAAATATATTCGAGAAGAAAAAAATCTCTGAACATGATCCCTTTTGGATAACAATAACAATGCAAAATAGGATGTAACTATCTGAACTATCAATCGGCGAGAGCATTTTACATTTTTCAGAGTCACCATCTCTCAATCGCTTCACAGATTTGTTCAACACTATTTGCATGAATGCATCATTACCTAGGCTGTGGGTGTGGG